AATTTTTTAAAAATATTTCCGACTATTTTTATACAAGACATAATAGGCCCTTTGGAACTATTATTCTATAAAATATCATTACCCACTGAAACTACTTTTGTAATAGAATTAAATAGCGAACCTTTGGGACAAATCGTTGGCTTTTTGGTATTTGGAAATATATATTTTTTTTTAAATATCAAGTTTTTGGTATAGTTTAAAAAAATATTAAAAAAATCATACTTAAAGATAACCTTTAGAACAGGACTCTTTGAAAATAATTTTCAAAAAAAAGCCACGCTTGGGGTTATTCTTTGAAAGATGTTTTTAAAAAAAATTGTTTGCGTAAAAAAATATTTCTTTAAAATCCCAGCTTGGGATTTTCTTTGAAAAATATACATTTTTATATCTTTTCTTGGGGGTAGATATTGAAAAATACTTTTTATACCCTACACAACTATGTTGTCAGGATATTATAGCTTTGTGCAGCCCCAAAACTTTGTAACGCCGCGCAATATTGGTCCTATACCCACCTCTAAGTATACCGATCGTCATATTTCGACTAGCTGTGTCGATCTAAACATGTGTGTCCGTCCGTCTGTCCATTATAATTTGTAAACACGATACGGGCCACAGTTATGGACCAATCTTCACGAAATTTTGCCTGTAGAATGGGTTCTGGCCAATGAAGATCGCTATTGTTTATATTCCATTTGAGCTGGAGCATTCTCATTCATTCGCACAACATGGCCTAGCCATCGTAGTCGCTGCAGCTCAATACGACTATGTCGATGTCCGCGTGTAAATTGTAAAGCTCATGGATTCATTCGACGCCGATATTCACCGTCGACGCAGATCGGCCCGTAGATCTTTCGGAGAATTTTTCTTTCAAACACACCAAGACCTGCTCATCTGCTTGCGCAAGTACCCATGCTTCAGATCCATATAACAGCTCGGGTAGTATCAGCGTCTTGTAAAGTGTGAGTTTGGGAGGTGGCCTTGTTTCTAAACTGCTTACTTAGACCATAGTAGCATCTGTTGGCCATCACAATCCTTCTCCGAATTTCAAATCTGATGTCATTCGTTTTATTTATGGCGGTACCAAGGAATATAAAATATTTAACTACCTCGAAGCTGTAGTTATCAAGTTCCACAGTTGATCCGAGTCTACTGGACGCCTTGTGCGTTGATACCATCAGCTTGGTCTTCTCGCCGTTTACTGCCAGACCCACTTTGGCAGACTCCTTTTCAATTTGTTCAAAGGTGGCTGTTACCGCTAGCAATGTTCCACCATTATATCGATGTCATCGGCGTAGGCGAGTAACATGTGTTGTTTGGTGTACAGAGTGCCATTTCTGTTCACATTTGCGTCTCGTATGACCTTTTCCAGCTGGATATTAAAAAGATCACACGACAAACTGTCACCTTGCCGGAATCCTCGTTCGGTATTGAAGGGCTCCGATAGGTCCTTGAACTGCTGATCTTGTGCGAGTTAAAGTTATTCTGCATAGCCGTATTAATTTTGCAGGAATGCCGAACGTAGACATGGTTTTAAACACCTCTAAACGGATAGGGCTGTCGAATGCAGCTTTAGAACCGCCTAAAAGGTGGTATGTGTCTATGTGTTTTTCGTGGGTCTTTTCCAGGATTTGGCGCAGAGTGAAAATCTGGTCAATGGTCTGAAGACGCATTGGTATGGTCCAATGATGTCATTGACCATTGGCTTCAGTCGTTCATACAGCACACTGGATAGCACTTTATATGCGATGGGAAGAAGGCTTATTCCTCTAACTCCATCATAAAAGTTATTAAAAATGTATTCTAAAATTTCTAGATACCCCACGTTGGGCGCCACATTTATTCTTTAACTTTATATCTCTATAATAATTTAATTAATTTCAATTTCACATCAATCAACATAAATGCGTAATATTCATTTGAAAATATAGCGACACAAACCTTCAAACCTAATTGCTGATATTATTCTAAAAAAAAAACACAAAAATCTCACGGAAATTGTTATTCCTAATAATTGCCTCTGTAAATCTCTACACTTGACTTAACTTTTTCCGAAACATGTTATTAACTGAAAACATAAGTTTTCAGATTAGTATTGTAAACTGTAATTGTCAGTATTGTGTTTGGTTTATTACTGATATTTAAAATTTAAACTATAATTTTAGAGGCTGTAATGGGATGACAATGAAAATTGATTTTATTGTTAATTGAAAAAAAAAATATTTGCGAAAATGAAAAAAAATGAAATTTTTAATTGCAGAACCCAACGAAGGTCTTTTTATTAAATGAAAAGAAATTTGGTGAAATTTATGAAAAATGAAATTTTTTCTTAAACATTAAGCTCGAGTAGCTAGCTGTATCCAAAAAAAAAATCCGAAACCCCTTTTTGATTGCCAATACCATTACCCAGTCGGCCAAAGATAATCACCTATCTCAAACTATTTTGGAAAAGTGTGGCCAACATAAAAAAACATTCGCTTTTTTATTTATTTTATTCAGTGATACCATTGATGGGGCCGCCTTAGACTCTGTCCAGGAAATGATAGCCAATTAAATAAAAGTATTTTTGTTTTCGGTGGAGATTTTATTTTAATTCATCTCAGGTTGTTCCAACAACAGGTTCCAGTTTTCTATTGAGGTTTGAATTCATTCTATGTTTTCTTTTTTGTTTGATTTCATTCATAAGTTGGGTTTTATTTCTGGTGTCTGTCTATCATTGTGTAAAAATGTATGTCAGTTATTCTCATTATCCACATCTTCACAATCTTCGTTATTATCCCCCCTACCATCATTCCACACCATAGTTGCGGCAGCAGCATCGGCAGCCAGTCTTTCGTTAATCTTAAATTGTTTTGGTAATTATCTGAATTCATTGTTACTCTAATTGTTGTTATTTTCTGTTGTTTTTGTAATTTTGAAAATTTGTCTTCTTCGTTTCTTTGTTGTTGTATTTTTTTTTTTTTTTTTTTTTGTATATTCTTTGATGGCCTTAGGGTTAATTACACTACACGAGAAAACTACCAGTTTTACACATCACTCGGCTCGTCCTCAGCTCATCTTATCTCCTCTCCTCTTGGCTCATCACATCATCTGGTCGTCTTGATTACATTTTAAAAATATTTTATTGTTTGACAGACACACATCTCCGCTTTTCGGAATCTATTCCGCATACAAACATCCCCTTTGGTTTGGGGTTAATGACATTTTAATACAGTGGATGATAGTTGCTACATACGTGTCTGATGTTTTGGCCTGAAGAGCCAGAAAAGGAAATGGGCGTATATCTTAACTAGACTAAGACGGACTGAGGATTGTGAAAAAACGATATTTCAGTTAAGGGATTTAAACGGACATTCCTATGAAAAAATATTTTTTTTTAAGGCCGAAAAACTATGATTTTTAAAACAAAAATTTTCCAGTGGGAGGACATTTTCCTGTTGGAAAATATTTATGAAAAAAAAACACTTAAGGGGACCCCCCCCCCCCCATTCTCGGGGTCAAAAATTTTGTTTATATAATTCGAATCTACACTAATTACAGAATGTCCCTACAAATTTTCAAATGAAAATCTCAAGAACTCTTGAAGATATAGCCGATTTATTGTGTCAGCATCAAGTGACGGCTGAAGGGCTTCTCAAACTTTAAACGCGTCTTTCTCTAAACATTTTTTTGCGAATGGCGGGCACGATAACTCAAAAGCTAATAACCCAATCGATTCCAAATTTTTACACGTTTCTCTGTGAGTGTATAGCTATCGTATGAACTAGGATAAAGCCAATCGGTGAAGATCTTCCTTATTTTTTAACTTTGGTTTTTGGTCGAAAATTGGCGATTTTCCAAAAATATTTTTTCAAAGGTCCGCCATTTTGTTAATTTTAGAGCGAAGTCAATAATCCTTGTTCATACGAGAGCCAGACATGTACTCTTTCTATTACCGTTGGAATTTTCGGATTCCGATGCTCCAGTGAGGAGTTATCATGCCCGCCATCAAAAATAAGGACTTTCTTTAATTACAAAAAACAACAACAAAACAACAACAAACATTTTTTGTAAATAAATTAAATAAAATTTAAATTTTTCTTCTATTTTAAATCTTCAATTATATATGTGTAAAGTTACAAACCTTAACAAGCATTGGTACTGATTTACCAGCCCATTGAAAATCTTGAAAAATTAAAATCGAGAATGGGGGGGTTCCCTTAAATGAAAAAAAAAATTAGAAATAAAATTTATAAATTGTGTTATAAAACAATGTTTTTAAATTTAATAAAATATTGAGAACTTAGAGAACTGATGAGAATTTTTTGCGAAATCCGAAACCTTCCCGATTTAAAATGCAGATTGTTTTAATTTAAAAAAAAAAAAATTAAATCCTGTAGCGGATAGACATGGGTCTGTTTTCTTTCTACATGATCGCTTAAAAAAATTGTATAAGAAAAAGTAATTACCAATAGGAAACATTTAAATTTATATTTGGAAACAGAACATTTTGGCTTTAAAACAGGGCTGTCCACACTAATACATTCAAGTTTTGTGATTGTATTTGTTTGAAATACAAAAATTTCAAAATTTTTGTTTCTATGTCATATACTGTGAGAAATTTTGTAAAAATATTATTTTCAAATTTTAGGGAAGAAATCTACTTAATTATAGCTGTTGATGATACATTTTCCCATATAAAGATATATTTGTTTCTGTTTTGCCCTCCCGGCCACATATTTCGACTTGTTCCGAACTAATGTTTGTCAAAAATATCCCCATTTTTTCGGTGTACTGTATGAAAACAAAAAGAAATGAATGACAATTTTGAAAATATTTTTTATTTTCAAATGTTTCTCTTTTATAATTGTATGTGTGAGCAATTTGACATACACCGACAGCCCATGGGACCTATTTTGGGCACTGCTGCTTTAAAATCAAAATATATTTAAACATTTTTTTTAATTTAAAATTATCTTTTACTAATTTTATAAATTATATTTCTTTTTTCTATTTTTTTCCAGGCCTTAAATGGTTTTCTTATGATCCTCACCTGTGATGGTGAAGTGTTTTTTGCCACACACAGTATAGAAAGTTATCTGGGGTTTCATCAGGTAAGTTAGAATCCTAAAAAATATTAAATGAAATACGGTCCCTATAATGCATTTATATTCTACAAAAAATATCCTTTGAACATCAACATTTTTGAACAGATATTTTTCAAAAAATGTCTTTTTAGAAAATAAAATATTGGACTCTACTTTGATCTAACACATGTAATTGGTCATCCATAGACCTCCCGAAATATTCTTGAAAATATATGTCCTCAATACAGTCGACTCCGATTTACTGAAACGGAAAAAAATGTGGATGTTTATTTCAGTTATACGATGTTTTCACTTAAGCGGTGTTCGGGTAACTGAAAATAATTTCAGTTATCCGGAACGGTATTGTTTGAGTTTTCTTTTTTTAATTTTCCAACTGGTTTTAAACGTTTTGCCGGACGAACCTAACGTTATTCAACGTCAAATTTATATATACTTGACACACATTCCATACGTCGAAAAAAAGTATTTGCTGACATATATCTGTTAGGATGGGCTTTGAAAATGTGTATTCCTCATTGAAGATACTCTGTCATTATCATCCATTCTCATGACATTCAGTAATGCGGAGTAATTTGAAAGGCAATTGCAATATTTGACTCCAAACCTATTTCAGTTATCCGATATTTTCAGTTATGCAAAGTTTCACTTATGAGAAATAAATTGTGGGCGATTAACATAAAACGTAATTGTGCAAGAAATCTATTTCACTTATCCGATATTTTTCAGTTAAGCGTCTTACAGTAAAGCGGAGTCGACTGTAGTTCTCAAAAGTAGACTTAAAAATTGGTATTTAAAAAACTACCGTTCTTACTGTACTGGATTAAAAAAATGTGTTAAAAAATCCCCGCCTTTTTAATACTTGAAAAAAATTACATACATACCTAGCAGGTTCGGGACAGAACATTTGTTCCATAAACCTAACTTAAAAAACCGCAGTTTTTCCAATTTGAAAGACCATGATTTGATATGTTGTCCTCCTCTTGATCTTTCCATCGAATTTGTGGCATTCCCCTTCTGTTTGAACTATCAGTAGGGTCGCTTTTATATGCCTTTTGAAATGGGGCATCCTCATTCATTCGCACAACATGACCTAGCCACCGTAGTTGCTGCAGCTCGATACGACTGATTATGTAGATGTCCTTGTATAAATGGCAAATCTCGTGGTTCATTCGACGCCGATATTCACCGTCGACGCAGTTCGTGCCGTAGATCTTTCGGAGAATTTTTCTCTCAAACACTCAAAGAGCTGCATCATCTGCTAGCGCAAGTACCCATGATTCTGATGTGATCAGCCTTTTGAGCTGGGGCATTCTCATTCATCCGCACAACATGACCTAGCCACCGTAGTCGCTGCAGCTCAATATGACTGACTATGTCGATGTCCGCGTATAAATGGTAAAGCTCGTGGTTCATTCGACGCCGATATTCACCGTCGACGCAGATCGGCCCGTAGATCTTTCGGAGAATTTTTCTTTCAAACACCCCAAGAGCTGCCTCATCTGCATGCGCAAGTACCCATGCTTCTGATCCATATAATAGCACGAGTAGTATCAGCGTCTTGTAAAGTGTGAGTTTGGTCTGGCGGGATGTGGCCTTGTTTGCTTACTTAGACCATAGTAGCATCTGTTGGCCATCACAATCCTTCTCCGAATTTCAAAACTTATGTCATTCGTTTTATTTATGGCGGTACCAAGGTATATAAAGTCATTAACTACCTCGAAGCTGTAGTTCTCAAGTTCCACAGTTGGTCCGAGTCTACTGGACGTCTTGCGCGTTGATACCATCAGCTTGGTCTTCTCGCCGTTTACTGCCAGACCCACTTTGGCAGACTCCTTTTCAATTTGTTCAAAGGTGGCTGTTACCGCTCGCAATGTTCGACCCATTATATCGATGTCATCGGCGTAGGCGAGTAACATGTGTTGTTTGGTGTACAGAGTGCCATTTCTGTTCACCTTTGCGTCTCGTATGACCTTTTCCAGTAGGATGTTAAAAAGATCACACGACAAACTGTCACCTTGTCTGAATCCTCGTTCGGTATTGAAGGGCTCCGATAGGTCCTTTCCTACTTTAACAGCTGACCTTGTGCCACTTAAAGTTATCCTGCATAGCAGTATTAATTTTGCAGGAATGCCGAACGCAGACATGGCTTTAAACACCTCTGAACGGATAGGGCTGTCGAATGCGGCTTTATAGTCGACAAATAGGTGATATGTGTCGATGTGTTTTTCGTGGGTCTTTTCCAGGATTTGGCGCAGAGTGAAGATCTGGTCAATGGTGGATTTGCCAGGTCTGAAGCCGCATTGGTATGGTCCGATGATGTCATTGACCATTGGCTTCAATCGTTCACACAGCACACTGGATAGCACTTTATATGCGATGGGAAGGAGACTTATTCCTCTATAGTTGGCACATATTGTCTTGTCTCTTTTTTTGTGCACGGGACACAGAATGCTGAGGTTCCAATCATTGGGCATGCATTCATCTAGCTAAATTGTAGTAATCAGCTGGTGCATGCTCCTGACCAGCATCTGGCCACCAGTATTGAATAGTTCGGCTGGTAACCCATCGGCTTCTGCTGCTTTGTTGTTCTTGAACCGATTAATTCCTTTTATGACCTCATCTTGGCTAGGTGGTATACACTCTATACCATCATCTCTTATTGGTTCTGGGGTAACTTCTTCAACGCCACCATTTGATACCAGAAGCTTTTCAAAATGCTCCTTCCAGATCCTCAGCACGCTGTCTGTATCTGTCACCATGTTTCCTTCTTCATCTCTACAGGAGGATGTGCCTGCACCAAAGCCTTCGGTTTGGTGTTTTACTCGTTGGTAAAATTTCCGGACTTTATTCTGACTCCTGTACATCTCGATTTGCTCACGATCACGTTTTTCTTCTTCTTTCTTCTTTTTTCTGAAAACACGTTTCTCATCTCTCCTTTTCTCCCGATAATTCCCCATCACGTCACGTGTTGCTACTGTCTGCAGGGTTGCACTAAACGCTGTGTTTTTCATATCAGTAGCATTACGACACTCCTGATCGTACCATGGGTTTCTTGGTGGTGGCTTTTGGTACCCAAGTGTTGCTTTTGCTGCAGTTTGTAGGGAGTGGGCAATTCTTTGCCATTGTGCACATATAATATTATCGGGACAAGAAGTGTTTTCTTCAAGCAGAAGGGTAAGTTGAGCGGAGTAGGCTACTGCTATCTGTTGTATTTGCAGCTTTTCGATGTCGAGTTTCCGTTTTGTGTTAGATCGCACCTTTGCTGCTACATTAAGACGGGTGCGTACCTTGGCTGCCACAAGGTAATGGCCCGAATCGATATTCGCTCCTCGGATCGATCGGACGTCTAAAACACTGGATGAATGCCTTCCGTCTTTCACAACATGATCAATTTGATTTCTTGTTGCTTGATCAGGAGAGATCCAAGTGGCTTTGTGTATATCGAGATGCTTGAATCTGGTGCTGCTTCCAAATGATATTCTTAAAAAAAATCCCAGTTGTAATAGTTCTTCAGAAAGTATTTTTTTGTATTTTTATTAATCCCTCAAAATTTTTCTTTATAAAAAATCCATTCAGTATAAAAAATCTATGTAAAATGTCACATTTTTCTAGGTAACAATTGATTCAAGTTTTACCGCCTAACCTACATACATAGATACGTATGTTTGTATAATAATGAATATGAAATCAAATATGATTAATCCTTCGTTTGTAACCTAAAACAGAGCTTCCCATCAAATCAAATCTAAAATCGTTTCATACTACACAACCTGTTATGAATGCATTCAAATTCTCACATAGGTTGTATTACAGAAAAGAGACTAAGTCCATAATTTGAAAAATCAAAACAACAACAAAACCCTCAAAATGTGCCTTCCTTTAACCATTAAAATCAATTGGAAGAAAATATTTTTCTGTTTTTAATTTTCTTGTAAATTTCTCATCCTTGGACTTAACCCATTTTCCCTTAATAATCCCCATTCCTCACTATCTTCCATGTATCTCCTGTTAGTTTGTTTGTTTTCATTGTTGTTATTGCTGGCAATAAATAATAAATCAGCACCGAATTCAAGAATACAGCGGGAGTATTGCGCAATCGCACACAATCGTTTGCCGCCTAAATATGTGACTGTGCGATGTGCCTCTTAGTGTCTCAATGACTACCTTCGCAGCTTATTTTCCCCACTGTCATATGTAGTGTGTATTTCTACCAATGATCACAACCAGGGTGATCATTTGGATCACTTGCTCACTGCAGCATCGCTTCCTTTTGTGTGTGTGGTGTGGCCGTTAAACTGTTTGCCAATAATATTGATGGCCTTACGGCAGCTATGTTCATGTTATGTTGTATTCATCGATATATTTCGATGTGTATGATTGTCTGTCCATTTGTTTGTTTTTATTATTTACATACAACAACCACAACAATATCATTAACTTGTTTTCTGATTCTGAGTTATGAAATTATGAGAATACAACAGGAAAAAGAAGGGGGTAAAAAACTGTGAGCTTTTGGGGGTCAGTTGAAAAATTTGTGGGGTAAATTTATTTTTTTGGGGGCCCTCGGAAGATCAGGAGTACCTTTCACTTGAAGCCATTTGGTTTTTTAGAGGAGGTCTATTTTAGTCAGCGTTTAATTAGTAGTCTTCTCAAGGTTTTGCAGTAAGTCTTTTAAGACGAATTTTGAGCGTTCTTTAGACTTTTCCTGAAGCCTATTCTATAAGAAGATCTATCTACTATAAGAAGGTTCGCTCCAGAATTCATTAGGAATCCTTATTTGGCTCTATATGGAAAATTCATTCAGACTTCTGTAGTAAAGCCTATTCAGTCTTTTGTAGATAGATCTGTTCATCCTTCTATAGATAGACTTCTTCATTCTTCTTACATAAATAGTGGGTCTATATCAGCAACGTACACAGGATTTCATTTCGGGGGGGGCCCGGTAGTACAAAATGAAAAAATTCGCTGTTGCAAACATAAATTTACTGTGAAAAAAAATCATTTCG